GGTCAGCTCATAATGCGGCCCAGTGCAATTTTTTATTTTTAAAGAAATTCCAAAGTTTCAAGTTACACAGCCGGCACTTGCAGCCGGAATATGGCCGGGGCATGTCACAACAGTAGAGGGGGAGAGAGGGAAGGAAGGAAGGAGTGGGAGGGGACATCCCCGTCAATAGGTGGACCCCTCCCGGCCCCATAAAGCCGCGGGAGTCGAAGCTGGCAGCCTCTGCTGTCTGAGATCGCAGCTGCCAGTAAGCGCGCTTGGAGCAGGGCTGTGGAGGATGGCTAGGGCTGCCCCCCCATGCGGCCCAAACCAAATGTATGTGCGGCCCAAACCAAATTTTCATCTTCTAATGTGGCCCAGGGAAGGTGAAAGGTTGGACACCCCTGATCTAAAGCTTTTCCACCCTTTGGCTACCATTCTGTCCTTCCTTGATTAAAGTCAAAGAAAAAAAAATTGTTCAGAACATCTGCGAATCCCAAAGGAACAGCAGAAAATGCCAGGATTTAAATGTGGGCAAAAAGAACTGGTCACCTCTTAAAATGGATGGAGCCCTTTGAAAGTGTACTCCCAGCCACCAAGAGAACTGGGTTACTTGACTTGGCAGAACTAGACTGAACCAAAGAAAGTTGGATTTTCATGCTACTGTAATTCTTTACAAGCTATGTCAGTGTACTGTGTGCTGCTTAACATGTACTATGGAAAACTTGATTCTAGCTACCCTCAATGCTCTTGATGTTGCCTGTTATTGAACAAAATTATCCACTATATTTATCCATTGCACTATGGTGCTCCTCACACAAACAAATGAAGATGTAAACTTAAGTAAAGTTATTTGGTGATATCAGATCTGGTGACCAGGTAGATCCATGGGATACAGCAATCTCCCAGTCTCTGAGCATCCTCTACCAGTTTTTCCAAACATGTATTCCACTTCATATCCCAATACTAAATTCTGTCAGCTGCTCTGAAGGAAGGAAGAAAGAGATCCAAGTAATTCTGCTTCTCATTTACTTGTCTGTAATTTAATAGCTGGATTGAGTGAACCATTTTAGCACCACATAGACAACTAAAGTGAAATGTTGATTAAGGGATTTCTGTAATCTATTATATTATATTATATTTTTGAACTGCATAGATTAACCTTCATGTTAATGCATGAGCATCAGATATAAAACTTCCCCTCCCCCCCACTAATATGCTTTCAAGTTAACAAAAGAGCAAAAATTACTCTGAAAAAATAGATTTTCTTTAGGGAAATGTAATGTATATCTGTTAATATAAATATCAATATCCATTGATTCACATGCACAATCTGAAAATATTAAAAGAAAAAGATCCAGAAAAAACTATGTTTACATGTATTACAAGAACTGGCCACTAGAGACCATGCTATGAATACTTGATAGGGAAGAATACATAGCATGGTCTCTGACCACCCAGTGGCCACATCTTGTAATGCATGAAAAAAATCCTTTTTACTGCTCTCTCTCTCTCTCTCCACACACAAACACACACACACACACACACACACACACACACATACACACACACACACACGAAACAAACGAAGCTGATCAGAAATGCACAGAACAAAGGGACCAGGTCCGAAATGCAAAGAGAAGAAAGGAAAAAGCAAGGGAAGCATGCAAGACCATCAGAAATGGGGGGAACCCCAAAAGCAGCCAAACCCCTCAATACCCATCGCTATGCGATTTTTTCGTTAAACGGGGTGCTCATTAAGCGAGGCACCACTGTATATATAACATTTTCAAGTATTGTATATATATGGGACTTGGAACAAATCCCCAGCAGATATGAGGGTCTTACTGTAGTTGTTAAGTTGACGCAAAATAAAGAATGTAATTAATACTTGAAAATGTTTGTATTCACAGTAAAAAAGATGCCTTTACATACCTAGCCATGCTTTAAAAAAAGTCAAATGCTGTGAGAGAGTTTTTGTCCCCATACAAGAATGAAAAGGCTAGCTAATTTTCATCAGGACAAATATGGCTTTGAGGTGGGGAGGATATCTTTTACTTTACATTTTGAAGCTTGTCTTTTGTGTGAAATACAAAGTTTTCTGAGTAAAATGAAGCTTTTTCTGTTCAAAGCTTTTTTTAAAAAGCCATTTCGGTAAATATTTTGCAAAAGCACCAACATGCTTGGTGGTATAATTTATATCCCACCAGATGGGCGGGATATAAATCAAATCAAATCAAATCAAATCAAATCAAATCAAATCAAATCAAAAAAATAAATAAATAAATAAATGCCAAAAAATACAAAAATTGTCTTAATTCACCCAGCAGGCAGAAAAGTTTTCAGATTTTTTTCATTCTTCCCAACAATAAGAAATAAGCAAAGATTTATATTCCTAAGACTCTCTGTTGTTACTGCAAACAATGAATATGACTTCCCCAACGGAAACACTTGGCAGAGATCAGTCTTAATAGGTACTGTATGTTTGTCATTTGAATGAACTTTCTCTTTGCAGCCACACATCATTATCTGTGGAAAGTGATGGGGGCTACATGGATATGAGTAAGGATGAGTCACTGGATTATGTGCCCATGTCAGACATGAAGGGTGAAATCAAGTATGTGGACATCGATTCTTCTAATTATGGTACCACCTATGAACTGGGCAGCTATTCACCAACAGGTAAAGGAGGTCATAGAAAGCAGCAGGCACGTATGTTGTGACCCGTCGTGATCATTTGTAATGGTTTCATTGTCTGAAGAGCCAATGTGAAGAAATAAGGATCCTTTTTAATATTATATACTATTATAATGATGATAATGATGATGATGATACCATCGTATTAGTTACAGGTTTTATTGCATTTGTTTTTATTGTAAACCACTTTGGTATTTGTTGGCGCAAAACTGACGTCTCTGGCGCAGAGTCTTGTCCAGTCCAGGCAGTCCAAAAAACTCACACATACACAGGCAGCTTCTCCTGACACCAAAATATATTTACGATATATACAGCAGTTCGAACTGGCATGACAGCATGGCATCAGGTAATGGATCAGATTACAATATATACAGCAGTTCCAACTGGCATCATGACAGCATGGCATTAGGTAATGGATCAGGGGTACATCTTCAATTCAACTTCACATATATATACTTATATGTATTAGCATATAGGAAGTCATGGCATATGTTGCATCATCCATGACTCAGCATTACTCAGCATTATTGTACACCTGTACAAACATGGCTGCTCATTAATATAAACCTTGTTCTGCCAGGTTTGGAAATTATCCTTGACAGTATTTTTTTTAAAAAAATGAAAAGCAGTAAAGAAATGCTGTAAAATAATATCCAGATATATGCAGATATAGTTACAGTATAGACATATTATATAAAAGTGAAGCTTTGCTGTTATCAGTCGAAGTGAGTCTCTAAATCATTTCCTTCTTTACCGTGTGTCTGTGTAGAGTTAGACAGTTTTATATTTTAAATACGTTTGGGAAACCACATAACAAACATTGTTTGTGTCTCTGTTTTATGTTCTCAGCTTCTGAGAGGGTGACACTGATAAATGAATCTCCTCTGCTCAGCTACACAGATCTTGTTGGAATCAGTTTCCAGGTGGCTAATGGGATGCAGTTCCTAGCTTCCAAAAATGTAAATATACGATGTTTTTTTTTAGAATTACGTAATTATATCTAGGGATGACTGGCTTTAAAGGAGAAGAAAGTTGCTTGTTTTCTCCTTGTTTGTGGAACAAACAAGAAGAACGCAAGAAGAACACAAGGGGGCATCAGTCAATTTTCTTGTACTAAGTGTGGACAGGACGTTTGATTTATGTCTATTGAGGCACACTGTTGCATTTAAACCTTACTGCTTCCTTTCTCCTCTGGACAGATAATATTTACCTTGTCCCCTAGGCGGTGCACCAGACATTCAGTGAAACAAAACTATAATTGCTTTATAACAAGTTATTGCTTCTCTATTCAAACCAATCCTGAAATATTCAGTCCTTTATGCAAGATGCTTCTGGTTCTCTCACAGCCAATAGTGAGACGTTAAGCTAGAAGCCTTCATCTTAATCACAGATGGATGTTAGTGTGCCATCAGAAATATAGCTGCCCAATACTGTTTCTGTAAACAGTCTTTTTCCATGTGGAGAGAATGTTTTTTCTAGTACTGTTGCAAACAGTATTCTTGATGTAAGGGTGAATTTTTTAAAATAAATCAGTAAATAAATCTCAAGTAACCCATAGTTCTGTGCCAAGGAAAACTTGATTTTGAGGCTGCTGTTAACACTGCAAATTAACACATTTGCATATATTTTGCATAGTTTATTTTGGTTGCAGGTGTTATGAGGAAAATATTTATTTATTTATTAGATTTATATACAGTACCGCCCATCTAGAATGTGTCTGCTGTGGGTGGTTACAAAGCAGCAATGCAGCCATTACAGTTACAACTGTTGATCACTGTAAATATTCCCTTCCTATTCTCTACCGTTTCCATAGGACTTTCAGCGAAAACCGAAGGGGTTGGAAACTATTTTTGTAAGAAATGCATTATGAATAAGGAAAGCAGCATTTTTTTCAGGATTATTAATTCCAACCTGAATTTATGCACATGTCAACTGCACCCAGCCCAGGCTTACGTGGGCCAGCACCCTGTATTGGGCTTCCTCTTAGATAATCTGAACTACCAGTTTTCACGTTTGTTGGCGAAGAAATGTTGCCTGTTGCCAACTAATCCAAGGGCCATTTCACAGGATCGACTTCACACACAGCAAACTGCCCAGTAGGATTTCTGTGATGCCATTATCATTTGTGATCAATCTCTTTTCACATAACGCTAATAGCTATGGGGAAAAGGAAACATGATAAACGTGGCAAGCGGTTCTGCAGACAAAGCTACTGCTAAAACCAACCACACAGAAGGCCTGTGGTTGTTTTCCAGAGCAAATTCCCAAAAGGTACAGTTGTTCTGAAACATGACACATGTACTTACAGACACCACGGGTGGTTGGCAGGAGCAGAGGGTAAACGTCTTGTTAGAACATAGTTCAAGCATAAAGATGAATGTCTCTTAACAAGAGTGGAGAAATTTGAAATGGCAAGGAAATTGTGTGCAAGAAAGGAGTGATATCTCCAGAGAAGTTCTATTGAACAGTGAGCGCAGCCTCAAAAACTCCAGATGTTGGCCTTCCAAGTCCTGAAAGCTCTTACCATTAGCTATCCTGACAACCTGTTGGAAGTAGCAGTCGAAGAACATCTGGAGAGGCAGAATTGTCCGCTCCTTGTTTAGTCAATTCATTAATAAAGGGAACAGTACAAAAATAAAGAGTATTCTTGAATAATAGTTCTCAGTGCTTTGTTTCCTTTTGAGAACAATTCTGTGTAAACAAGTGGGAATTTATATTCCTCTTTTCATGTAACCTTAAAACAGCTCTAAACGTGCTCAGAGCAATGAACGACATTCTGAAGTCACACGAGAAGTAAAACCTAGTCCCCTGCAGCAGTGCTGATTGTAGGTCTAGGGGCTTGCTGCCGATTTTGCTGATGCGCTGTAAAACACTGTAAAACTGGAGACCACAGCACGACAAGAGAAAAACAAAACCAAATTGTAGGAACCACAGGCAACAGCAGTTCTGCAACAGTGCCTCCAAATTCCTGTAAAGCCATTGTCTGAACCTAACCTCAGTGGACACGTTGGGTTTCACACAGATTTTTTGTGACGCTTTGTTCTGAAAAATTTGGCTGGAGAATATCATTAAGGCTATTGAACAAATGCTAACACAAACACAAAAGTTATACAGCATGGGTATTTTTCTCTCTCTCCTGTCCCACAGTGTGTGCACCGAGACCTGGCTGCAAGGAATGTTCTGATCTGTGAGGGGAAGCTGGTGAAGATCTGTGACTTTGGCTTAGCTAGAGACATCATGCGGGATTCCAATTACATTTCCAAAGGCAATGTGAGTAGCAAGACTACTGAACTGTTAGCATTTTTAAACCTCTATACTCTGAACTTGGAAGCTAGTTTGTTCCTCTCTATCCTTTCTACTCATCCAAAAGAGGACAACTTCCCACAAATTTGGAGCCTCAAAACTTTACCATTCCTGAAGAATTTCATATATGGGACAGCATGTGGGATTAAATACATTTAAGAAAGCACCCTTATTTCCATAGGTTCACACACACACGCTTAGTATGACACTATGGCAAGTATGCTGGTTTAGGACAATACAGGGTGAATATAATCACTCATTCATCTCAGCAAAATATATCTTCATTGTCTGACTGCACTGGTTTTAATCAGGTCAATACCAGGTAAATTGGCAGCAGAGAAAATTCAGAAGCAGGTTATTCAAAGAATTATGAGAAAGTTTTATTTCTCTTTCCAGCATAACCTGTTGGTTCAATCTTACATTGATAATTCACCGCAGAGACGTGATTCCTGGGCTAGATTCTGCTCCACAGAGTTTTCAACCAGTCTTCTACTCTGTGGTTTAAACCAATAAATCTTCTAGAGTTTTGAACCTATAACCCCTGATAGATGGACATCTAGCCTCCATTCTTCAACATCTTAGGACCAGTGCTCCAAAAATAATTTTGGCCAGATAAACTCATTAATAGAATGCTGTTCTAAACAGGAGGCTAAATTTAATCGACCTACGTTTCATGCAGCCGAGGCTTAAAGTTTTGGCCCCTCTCCTTCTTTGCAGGGCCTGAGAGACCAAGTTCTATTTTTGTGTGTGTTTGTGTTGTGCTCAATGCGGCTCCGTATATGGACATGGGCCTGAGTAAGACCGCAGGCTTCTAGAAATTTCCAGAAGATTCAGAGTGGTGGCCCATGCTTTTTCTAATCTATCCTTCTTACAAAGATATTTAAAACTGAGGTGATTGAAAGGATGTGTTTCACAAATTGGGCTTCCATTAAAGTAATCAGATGAAAAAGCAGAGAGGGCCCCTGTCTCTTTAATAGTTCTACGGAGGAAGAAATTTCGGCAGATATACTTTGCATTAAAATATCTACTTGTTTATAAGCAACTATTATAGATGCATAAACCTTCTTTCTCGTCTGGTCAGCCTAGCTTGCATGAATTCTTTTATGTATGGCAAAAGTCACAGAGCAGAAATAACCAAACACTGCCAAAGATTAAGCAAAAGGGCTTGTGAACATTGACTACAGTTTATCCCCAGGCTGTTTTTGGGGAACGAATCTTCAAGCTTCAGATTACATGGGCCATCTGAAATGTTTTCCATGCTCCTTCACTGGGAAATTGCCTTTGCAATCTTCTGTCTTCCTCATCATCTTCTTCAATGTTCAAGAATCACTCTGTCCCTGTGAGCAATTTACTTCTGCTTCCATGCTTGATCCAGTTGGGCTTGCTCAAAAGTGATTCAACAGATGAGCTATGACAGGGTCCTCCAACCCTCTTTGGAATCCTCTAGTCCTGGTCAGGATTGGGCAATGCATGTCCTTTGAGCTGCATGTAACTACCAAGAGCATTTATATGACACCCTACAGCTACTCTTAAAATCATGTGGCAAACTGAGAAATTCCCTTTAAAACAAGCCTGTCTGTTTGCTTTAACAGATTGTTTTTCTGATTAGTTACCAAAATTCAGTGGTGTAGCACTGTGTGTGTGACCCAGAACCGATGGGAGGCAGACAATACTGGCTCTAAATGTAACACAGTTACCCCTTGGGTTTCTAAGCTTTTAACTTTCATAACTTCTAGAGTTTTTTTAGATCCACTGAGTAACCCATCTGCCACCTTTTCTTGTTTATGTTGCTCCATCTACCCATTTGATGTTGCTGGTGAGCCTTCTAAGGAGGCAAGCGGAAGTACTAAGAGCTTCCTACCATACTGCAATCATAGAAAGATTTCAGCCTTTCACCCCAAAGCGTTTACAAACTGAATTCGTGGGAAAATAAGATTTAGTTGATACTAAGGTCAGCGCAGTTATTCTAGGTTCTTTCATTCTGTAAACCATCCGGTGGTCCTTCTGGCTCTGCTAGCTTGGATGCACAACTGCACTTTCCTAATTTAAAACCCAGACTGTTGGCATATTTCTTCATAATGCCATTTTCTTTATTTAGTTCTGGATCATATATGGCCCTTTGATCATAAATACCAGACATCCACCTCCTGCTTCTGAACACAACATTGTGGGTGCAGCATTGTGGGTACATCCTCCCCAACTCTGAATCCATTTTCTTCAGATTTTAGCTCTGTGTCTCTTTTTCCTTGATAGTCAAGACCATTTTAATCTTTATTTCTACTTCCATCCGTGTTGATTCAACCTTACCATGGTTGGTATGCCAGTCCAATTGCTATGCATCTGCTTTCAACTAGGATGGTCACGGTACAGATAATTCTGCCCAGAGGCTCTTATCTTCCTCACAGCATAGAACACTCATCTATTTTCTTGATTCTGTACCAGAACCTTTAGGGATTTGATAGATGATGCCTTCGCAAGGCTTTATGCATCTCTTCTGCCGGCTCTGAGTAAGCAGAAGAGTCCTGATTGGTTTATGTAGGCCTAATCAAGCTTTGTTTTCCAAAGTTCTGGTTCTCTACAAGACAAGTGAATGCCCTCTTTCTCCCAGGACAGGCACACCCCCACTTGCTCACCACCTTCACCTGCCTTGCTGAGGGCCGGTAAGATAGTCCTTGTCAGCACAAACACATCTTCCTGTTTTAAATAAGGCGGTTCTGATTGGAAGCATGTTTTCCTGTGCGGGTTTCCCCTGGGGGCCCTGCTGCCTTCCTCCAGGAGCTCTCGATGTGGATGATTTGGTTTCTCTCAGTTATCAGGGGCCCTGGCAAAATGCACTTGTAAACCAGCTCAGCCTATTATTTACTTAACAATGCAGTCACCTCGTTTTTCAATGCACTGAAAAGATGCAAAGCTAATTTCCTTATAAATGTGGTTAATATGGTTCCTTGATCACAATCCGCAATTCTCTAGTAAAAATCTTACCTCTCCCACTCCCTGAATATGCCTTATTGACAGTGAGAAACACTTTGACAAAGTCCAACACAGGAAGCTAATGGAGTTGGTGTTTTTTTTTTTTTTAAACAGTCAATGATTCAAGAGATATCTTTATAATTTGCAATCTGCACTGGTAATAAAAAGCTTTGTTTAGATGATACATGATGCCTTCACAAGTTCAAATTGGAGATGGCATAGAGATAACAAAGGGACTCAGACTCTTGCCACTGCCTCTTAACACTGTATGCATTACAAGATCATCTTTAGAGAAGCACTTCCCGATTTAGATTGGGGCACTATTGTCAATGGAGATAGCACTGTCGGCAATGGTCAGCATCCAGAATGAAGACAGTACAGTATTACTAGCTGGTACTTCAGATGATCTGCAAAGGTTATTCAGAAAACCAAGTTCATAATCAATAGAAATCAAGCAATACAAGAAATGCAGTTAAAGATTTGAAATGGAAGTTTGAAATGTGTTCAGAAATATATGTTATCTTGGAATTTATTTGAACGAATAGTGGTAATATGACCATGAAATAAAGGTCGGAATAGAGATGGTCTAGAGAAGCTTCCTAATGATGAAGAAGGCAATATACAATGGAAACAAAAATAGTTGAGAAAATGTGTGTTCTATTTTGCTGTGCACTCTCAGTTCTACTGTATGGCATCTAATCATTGAATTTAACACATGCATTGAATCATTGGCTTTAACACATTTCAACTGCCTCTATCTTTTAAAAAAAATGTATTTTAGAAGCATTAGAAATGTAGGTTTATTGGAGGATGCTGAGAATATCTTGAACCTACAGGGTTCAATGAAGTTCTAAGGCAAATGAATAACATCTAACAAATCATAAAATTGGTGGTTGTGGGTTTTTGGGGCTCTTTGGCCGTGTTCTGAAGGCTGTTCTTCCTAACTTTTCGCCAGTCTCTGTGGCTGGCATTTTCAGAGGACAGCACTCTGTGTTCATAAAATTCATAAACTGTAAAAGGGTAGAATACTTTGTGTGGCAAGAATTGAGAAGTGTACTGAGTGTTATATCTGATCATTCAAGATAAAATAAATGAGAAATGCAAAGGAGGAAAGAGAATAAATTATTGGCTGAAGAACCTTTGAAACAGGTTTGGGTAGATCAAAACACCATTGTTTAGAGTTGTTGCACCGAGGCTAAGGATAGCTACGGCAATGTGCAACCTCTGGTAAGAGAAGAACAAAATGAGAAACTGGTAATTCTCATGGTCCTGATCATGAAACGTGTTAGTGAACTGACAGCCTTCATACATTTCTTGAATTTTTTCACACATTAACTATTTAGGCTACTGGCAGTCTACCAATTTTACATGCCAGACCTGATTAATCTCTTTATTTCTAGACATCTGTGCTAGGGATGTGCCATTTGGGGTTCTTGGATTCTAACTCCCAGTATTCTTAAAAAAAAAAAACCTTCAGAGAGAATCCTGGGAATTCTAGTCCACAAATCTGTGTACCATTTGGGGTTCTTGGATTCTAACTCCCAGTATTCTTCAAAAAAAACCTTCAGAGAGAATTCTGGGAATTCTAGTCCACAAATCTATACTGTACCAAGAAACACCTACATTCCTCCCACCTGGACTGAGTCCTAGCTCTGAGCTTGCATGGCCTAATTCAGTGGTCCCCAACCTTGGGCCTCCAGATGTTCTTGGACTTCAACTCCCAGAAATCCTGGCTAGCAGAGGTGGTGGTGAAGGCTTCTGGGAGTTGTAGTCCAAGAACATCTGGAAGCCCAAGGTTGGGGACCACTGGCCTAACTCATTGTGAGGTTTTTTTTTTAAGCAACAGTTTCCTCTTTTGGACTTCTACACCAGAAAGCACAGCCTACAACAGTTTTGCAGCCTTGGAGCTAGGCCTTGGGCCAGATTCATGAAAGGCAGGTGGGGGTCTTTGGGTTGGAGCTCCTAGAATTCTGCCTGAGGAATTCTTGGAGAATTCTAGGAGTTGGGAGTGCAAAAAAAGCATAGATGGCACATCTCTAGTTTCCACTCTGGGTTTGGAAAAGGCCTTGATGTTTTATTTGGAAATGGCAAAATAATTTTGCAGGTCCAGTATTTGTATGTGTGTGTGTTGGACCTCATCTTGGTAATCCAGGTAATTTGGTGGATAGTCAGAAGCATCTTCTAGGGCATAACCCCTAGAATAAGTAATACCACATTTCCTGTATCCATACTTACTCCAGTTCTGTGGCTGTGTCAGTACTGTACACCAGAAATGTTTCTGTGGAACAGTAGCATAGTCGTTCTCCTACCTTTATTGCCCACAATGCATTAAGCCTGTAAGCCTGAAGAGACAGGAGGCTTGGAAGAGCAGTTTCTGTTGGCCTCTTCAGCTGCTTTCTCCTATTTACACCTCTTAGTTTCTGAAATGTCTATTTTGTCAGAATGGAACAGTACAGAGAGTACAGAGAAGGAAAAAACAGAGATGCAGGCCGGAACTATTGCTTTTGATATATTCTCTATAGCAGCCATACTCTGTCACCATAGCGGGCGAGTGTCCAAGAGTCATTAGCTATCTTCACATTGTGTTGCTCAAACCATGGTTTCTGAGACTGTCTGTGGATGGAATAGATAAATAAACCACTGATTCTGACTTCCCAGCCTATCTCTGGGACGATAGATACCGTGCTGTAGATGAAGTAAAGAGAGACTGATCTTCCACTCCTCCAGAGCTTTCCAGAACACTCTGGAAGGTAAACGCCTCAGCTATGCAAACTTCCAGGGAGACAGTTCTACAGCCAACGTGCCACCACTGAAAAGACCCTGCTGTAGACTGCTGTCATTGTAACCAGCACAAGCAGAGGCAACCTATTTGTTGCAATATTTTGAGATACTGGAGTCATGTTCAAAACTTATCTTGCACAAACAATAATATTCTTATGCACCAGACTCAAGGTACTCTACAGCTAACCTCATAGGTCTCATGTTGATTAGTTCAGGGCAAAATAATCAACATTGTTTGCATGCACAAGCTGAGACTTCCAAGTACTGAACAAAAGCCCTGATGTAAGTCATTTTGCAAGGTTAAGAACTTAACATGCATCTTTGAATCTCCTTTACCCAATCGCTCTTTCTCATAGTAGGAAATGAAACCCTAGCTGTTCACAGTCCTTCCTGGAAATTATTTTTTGATGCTGGTTGCGCAAATTAGCCCACACTCAGCTCAGGGCAGGCTGATAGAAAAGCAAGCTGTTGCAGAGAAAACCAGAATCAGGCTGGTTTCATGTGTCACGAATAAGCAGAGGTTTGGGGGCTGGGGAGACAAAGAGGAAATGAGGGTAGCAAGAAGGATATGTCTAGCTGCATTTTGAAGCTTCTTTGATGAGCCTCTCGTGTTCATTAAACTCAGTATTTCTTCACATATGTTACCTGCATTTTGACTGATCTACTTGATAGTAGAAGTCTGCCTAAATGGTTCAGTGGTTCTTATCTCTTGGAACCACCTCAGTGCCCTTTCTTCATTAATCAGACATGCAAAGAGGGCTTCATGCATTGAAAAGCCAGCACACTGGCACTGACATTGCATGGACTCCCATCTTCACTAACCAACATCTGTGCATCTAGCATGGGCATCTGGGAGGGGAAGCCTATGTGTATAGACTTCTGTGGATGGCTTAACAGTTATGTGTACAGGTTATCTATGCACATAGACTTACCTTAGTCGGATATCTGTGCTCAATATATGACTGGCAAAGCAGGTGGCTAGATGGATAAGCAATGACTAGGCCAAAAGGGAGAGTATAACCCATTACCTTTTCATTGTGGACCAGGGCCAGCCCTCTGTGAGGAGGGATGAACCGATTGCCTCAGGCAGCAGAACCTGTGGGAGGGTGAATGCTCTTCCTGCTCAGAAGGGGCCAGCACACCTTTCCTAGAGACCTTGTTGGTCGTCTTCCAGTTATAACAAATGCCACAGCTAAGCGGGCTTTTCTGTTTCCCCTGGCAATCATTCCAAAAAATTTCACTGGCCACCCAGTGACTCATGGGACCAAACAAGGAGAGACTCTTTTTTTTCCATGGTGCTATTTCAGTAGTTTGCTTGGCTTACTATCTATTCCTTCGACTTCTTACTTGTTTGATTCACGGTCTGTTCTCTACGATGCTTCCTCTCCCTCTCCTCCTCTGGTATTATACTTACTATCTATTCCTTCGACTTCTTACTTGCTTGATTCACAGTCTGTTCTCTACGACCCTTCCTCTCCCTCTCCTCTGGTATTATATCCACATCTCTAGGCCTTCTATACCCAGGGGTTCATTCCCTCTGGAATAGTCCTTGAAGCTTTGTTCAGTATGCAGAAATAGTTAGTATCCTTTCCTTAATTCCTTCCTCTTAAATTCCCTTTTCCGCTGTCTCTTTCTCCTTTTTCATGGAATCGTCAGGATCCACTCCCTTCCAGATGTTGTTTTGGGGTGGCATCTGACATTTTTGTGGGATTTTGGCATCCCAAACAATGGCCTAGCCAGTATTCGGTCTCTCCACCATCATACCTGTTGACCTGGATGAGGCTGAAGACCATATGTTAATGTGAGTATTTGGTAACGCATCCTTGATAAGAAAGATATTCTCATTTTATAGCAGTCATGCTAAGCAGAATCTGGTTATGCCAACCTAAATTGAAATCCTTTAAATCCCTTTTTTTTTTAAAAAAAGTGCTCTAGGATCTTTGCAGCCCAGAGCTTATGTGCTCATACCTGAGTTGTAGTCTAATTTTTGTAATACCTACCGTAATTTTGAAAGGCCTCTAGGAAGCCCAGTTTCTTCCTTCTCAAACAGCTGCCAAGGCAGGAAAGAAGAAGTAGAGATAAAAGAGTGTATGGTTGAAAGAAAAAAGCACTTCCTCCCATGAATCATCCCAAAGAGAATCCAGCCCTCCCACTACTTCTTTAGAAAATGATTCTGTTTTCTTGTATAACATTACAAAGGACCCTCTTCCAGAGCTGCATTTAGTAATTAATTACCATTCCTTATATTAAATGGCAAAGATAGGGATGAGGGATAATGTTCATTGCAGTCCACTTTTTTGTAAGAATTTCTCAAAATGCACACATTTTGACATATTTGGAATGGAAATAAGTTGGGCATAAAGGATCCTAAATGTGGGAGAAATCAAAGCTGACAGATTCATCCATCCAGGTCCAGAGCTTTGAGTGCTTAATTCTTGTAAGTCTAGGTTTGAATCCATGTGTGTTCACCCGTGACAGTGCAGCCGTATAGCTGGTGCTTCTATTTCCCCCTCAAGAAACCTTTCTTATTTAACACATAGATGGCATGTAGGTACGGAACGCCCCTTTTCTGATCCGGTGACACATGCCTTAGTTACATCCCCTTTGGACTAGTGTAATATGTGGTATATGGGGCTGCCTCTGGAATGTGTTTGGAAACTTTAGGGGCCCGGGATGATGAGGCTAAACTCCTGACTGGAGCTGGGTACAGTGAGAAAAGCAAATCTGTGTTACAACAGTTTCACTGACTACCAGGCACAAGTCAGATTGCTGGTCTTAAGCTATAAAGCCCTAAAAGAACGGGGTCTGGGCTATTTGAGTGACTGCAACTCTCCATACCACCCCCTCCAATCTTTGGGGGCATCCTCTCTCTTGGTTCTACCACGCTCATAGGCATACTTCATGCAGAAACATTGAAAGGTTTTTTTCCCCATTGTCTGCTCCCAAGCTATGGAACTCCCTTTCGTGGGAAACCAAGCTGGCCCTGCCCCTCCAGTCCTTCTGCCCACAAAGACCTTCCTTCTGAGGCAGGCTTTTAGTATGTAAACTGCTGAAAAGGGAGGGATTTTAAGGGCAGAATTGTCTTTTTAACCTTTTAAAATGTGTTTTTAACTTTTATCAGGGCTTTAGATCACACTTTTTAATAATCAATGTGTTTGTTCTTTAATAATGTGGTTTTTATATTTGTAATTGTTTTAATATTTTTAATGTTTTTACCTCCTTGATAAGCCACCTTGAGTTGGCATGGCGATTTCTTAATTAACTAACTACTGGCTGTTTCCAGGCACAATTCAAAGGGCGGAATTCATAAAACCTATAAAGCCTTATATGATTTGGGGACAGGCTATTTGAGAGATCTATTGCATTTGGCCAGTGCAGATGGATGAATTTTTTGTCTCATTTTGATCTAGAAGGATTTGTTAAAATTCAAAAGTTAGCTATTCAAGACAGAAAAAACATGGGCTTTATAAATGCAAATGCAGGAAAAAGAAACAATTGATTTCCCCATTGCGAAGCTTAGGTTTATAGGAGAGATGGCAGAGGCAGGTGGCAACTGGAATTCTTAGATGGGAATAACCCTTTCACTAGAAGAACCTGGTAGGTTTTCCTGTGATACAAGCAAAGCTTTGTGAAAAGTCACAGGGAAGCCCATTGTTATTCAGGAAGAGAGGACAATTCATTGCAGTTTACCTTATCAAAGGTTTGAAACTGTTCCTGCTGGGTCTTTTTGTTACAGACCTTCTTGCCTTTGAAGTGGATGGCACCTGAGAGCATCTTCAACAACCTCTACACTACCTTGAGTGATGTGTGGTCCTTTGGCATCCTTCTCTGGGAAATATTCACTCTCGGTAAATTACATTGGTCAGCTTTGTCCAGCCTTTGTTAGAGATGCATACTGGCTTAAAAAATTCCTACGTACAGAACGAAAGCAATGTGTTTCGTTCCCTTTCTTACGTTTCTTTTCTCATACCATAAGTTACCTTAAGCCCACCTGTGTCAAACAGGGAGGGCCCACTACCGATAGCCATTAGGGATGGACTTTTCTGGCCCACTAAAACCATAATTCTCCATTCAGGGAGATCTACCTGCATTAATAAACACCTTACAAACACCTAAGTGTGTTGTAAAAGGGGAGAAAGGCCTAAATTGGAAGGTTTTGATGCTGAACTAACTCTGCTCAAGTATTCTGTTCCTGCCCACTGCTAGCTGGGAGCCTTCCTTCTGAACAGGAAGTAATCTCTAATAGCCATTTTTAATTTTCCACTCCTGCACTGAAATGAGCCTAGCGTGGAGAATGGGGTGACAGTAATGCAGCCTTGGCATGCAGTAGAAGTATCTTTCCCCACTATTCTTTTTGCTTGATCTCCTTTTCTCTCCTAGGTGGGACTCCATATCCGGAACTGCCTATGAACGAGCAATTCTACAACGCCATCAAACGTGGCTATCGGATGTCCAAGCCCACTTACGCATCTAATGAGATGTGAGCATATATGTTTGCCTTTCTCACACTGGAAGAATGTCATCCTTTTCCCAGTACAGCATTTCCCAAACCACTTCTTGTCTTTTTATGTCATTCTAGCTATGAAATCATGCAGAAATGTTGGGAAGAGAAATTTGAGATTCGACCTTCTTTCTCTCAGCTGGTAATGCTTATGGGAAACCTTCTGGAGGATAGCTATAAAAAGGTATTGTTGGCCTGAGATGATTAAGTGGAAAAGATGCACTGTGGAGTAGAGTGGCCCTCTTTCTAAAGCAAATACCTGATGTGTATAGTAGATAGGAGGGATACCAAGCTAAGAGGTTGACTACATCTGTATTTGAGGGACATTGGATGATTACTTGGAAAATATGATGGGGAATGTACAGTATTTTCTGGTATGACTCTGGTTTCTTCATTGTCATTTGCAATTCCAAATGTGGATCTCACATTCTTCATTGATTTGAATAATTTGAAAGCTTTAGATGTTCTATTCCCTGCTTAGCACTATGTCATTGAAATGCTGCAACAGGGTGATCTCAAGGTTCAATAAAGCTTCCCACTGTTCACATCTACAGCAAACATCATTCCAAAATTGTCACTCGTAGATAGGGCGTTATCTGCCTTCTCTGTGGGGAAGAGAACCTTTATTTTTAGACCAGCCTTCCCCATCTTGACCATCTTGTAATTTGGTATTACAGTCTAATCATCCTTGATCACTGGCCACACGGGGCACTTGGAACAATATTAGAAGTGTTCATATGCATCTGTGCATATCTGTAGATATATGTGCTCTTCCCATATCAGGAAATTGTTTTTTGAGTGCTCAATACAAACTGAGGTAATGCAAGTGTTGACTAGTGAGCCTTTTTAATGGTGGCATGCTGCTTGTAGAATAATCTCTTCAGGATTTTTGAGAAGCCATCTGAATATGCAGAAATATTGTCCATTTTGCTGACACCTGACTGCACAAAGGCTAACAAACAGCAGTTTCATAGTCAAGTAGTAGCCTACACTATACTAAAACAAGTGAAACACTTGAAAATAGTGACTGCTTTCACATTTGCCATGGTGGGTTGTATTTCAGGCTTACAGATCAATGTTACACAGTTTGACTCGGAAATAAACTGCATTAAGTTCAGCTGTATTTAGGTAAAGATAAAGGTTCGCCTTGACATTTAGTCCAGTTGTGTCTGACTCTAGGGCGCGGTGCTCATCCCCATTTTCAGGCCATAGTGCCAGAGTTTGTAGACAGTTTCCGTGGTCACGTGGCCAGCGCGACTAGACACGGAACCCCGTTACCTTCCCACCGAGGTGGTACCTATTTATCTACTTGCATTTTTACATACTTTCAAACTGCTAGGTTGGCAGGAGCTGGGACAAGCGACAGGAACTCACTCCGTCATGTGGATTCGCTCTTATGACTGCTAGTTTTCTGACCTTGCAGCACAGAGGCTTCTAACCCGCAGTGCCACCACGTCCCACTCAGCTGTATTTACTCATGGATAAATGTATACAGTATAGTATTGTAGCCTTATAACTTGAAGCAGAAAGCCTAAGAGTGGTATGGCCCACTGAAACGCATCAATTTTTACTGGGCCATACTTCTAAATAGGCATACTTGAGTGAAATCCCATACATGTCCATTTAAAAGTAAGCAGCATTAAATTCAATAAGGTTACTCCAGGCATTTAAGATTGCAGCTTAGTAAGTGATCATAGCACTATTCAAGATCAATAGTCGATAACATTTTTTAAAAACCTAGGATCATCATAGTGGCCGAAATCCTGTTCAGCAGCAATGCTTGCATAATAGGAATGAAGCCAGCAGTAGACTGCCACTAATTCACAACTTCAGTTGTTTATTTTGGAGTGCGCATGGCTTTCACGCAAAGAAATGAAGACATGCACATTCCGAAACTGAAAAAGAAAGTCTTTAATCTGTGGCAATCTTTCATACGGAAAGCTGCACAACAGGATTTGGGGCAATATTTACTAATATAGTAAGCTGTTTATTTGCAAGACTGAGGTAAAGCTATAAGTCATGAGCTAGAATATGTTCATGCACTCACAGTATGTTCCTGCTCTGTCTGCTTTCTGTGAAAACAGAGGTACCAACAGGTCAATGAAGAGTTTTTGAAGAGTGACCATCCTGCTGTTGTCCGCACAAGGCCCAGGAACTTTGGACTCAACAATTTCCAGCCTGCTGCCAACTCCAATGCCAGTTCAAGCTCTGTCCTCTATACTACGGTGGAGCAGAATGGACTGGACAATGATTATATCATTCCTTTGCCTGATCCTAAACCAGAAGGAGCCAGTGACAGCCCCCAGGAGGCTTCCAGCAGTTGTACCAGGTTAGACCCTCCATCACTCTTTCGCCCACTGGGACAAACTCACTCCCACACGTAACACTCCTGAAACCTTAAAACAAGAGTGGGCAATTAATTTCTAGGGGGGGCCACAACTGTGTTCGAGGGCCGAACCAACTTTACTTAAAAATAAAATGAAACAGTGATTTTATGATTGTTTTTATTTTAAACTTGTTAATCTTCACAAATACTAAAGAGTTTTTTTGCAGTGTGTTAAAGATAAGCAATAGACAAAAAGCTATAAATGGTTTTGAAGTTCAAAACTGTCCGCGGGTTGGATGGGAGCAGCTTGCGGGCCGTATGTGGCCCTCAGGCTGCACTTTGCCCAGGTCTGCCTTAAAACATTCTTTAAACACCCTGTAAGCTTGTGGCATAATGGAAAGTAGAAGTGTGTGTATTAAATATGCCATATATTGGGGAAGAGAATCTTGGATGGAATGACCACAGATTTTGGAACACACTTAGTTATGTCTTATGCAACATATTCACCATATCATCCCTTCAAAGGCAACAGCTAGTTTTTGGTATATTATTTATTCCACTTTGAAGACAGGAATAGAGCTTTCTGAAAAATCTGAGAAAGTAATTGTTATTAATTATGGCAGCCATTTTCACAACACTCCTTTCAAATGGCATCCAGCTATGTCTGTCATAATTAATTCACTTCCGTTAAGATCTGAAACTTAGTTCTCTTTTTTCACCCCCTTTCTGCCATTAGTTCTACACTGAATGAAGCAAACACATCGTCTACCATATCCTGCGACAGTCCACTAGTCCCTCAGCAAGATGAAGAAGAAAAAGTGACAGAACTAAAGTCAGATTGTTAGGGTTGCGTGCATGCTTCAGCCTTCATGCTATGGTGATGCTGGGGAGCTGGCGCTGGGGAGTTCCAAGATGAAACTTCCCTCTCCTGCAGACCTACCAAATTGTAGTTACAGCCTTCCTGTCTTCCTTCCTCTTCAACCCAAAGCACAACCCATGAATTGTAACATGGAAGAGACTTTTCTGTGGCTAAGAATACATGCATGCTTGCCAGTAAAGATGACAGACCATGTCAACGTAACTGAAATGTGTGTCACATATTTTATGTGACTTCCCATGTTTTTCAAAAGGGACTGTCTTCATTTCATCGCTTTGCACAGAAATCATTCTCCATTCATTTCCTCTTGTGCCGATTCAGAACATCATGAGATTATGTGAAAGCTTGCCCTTTGCTTCACAGCTACAGCTCCAGATTGCAGAAGAGGAGTGGATATATGGATAAAATTAGTCTCCTCTCCCCACCATGAAGCTTGTCCTCGTTGCATCAACTGAAAGAGAGGGCCTCTTTGGAAATGCTTGTCTTCTCATTGAGTTTGTTTTTGAGACCAATAACTGTTCATTTATTGGAATATCAAATCATATATATTTTTTAAATCCTGTGAAAGTGGGTGATGTATGTATGTATGTATATACAGAAAGTGTGGTGTGTATTTTGTTTTTAGAGGCCAGCTAAAGGGTCAAAGAGGTGACTTGCCCACAATACTGACCAGTTTACAAGCACCAACAAGGGGATTTTCCATTCAGAGTGGTGTTATAATGATGACCAAGAAAAGAGCAAGCTCGGACATTTATCCTGAGGTTTGCTCTTCCTTTCCTATGTTCCCCAGTGGTTTTGCTGGAGGTCCAGCACTACAGGGATAACGGTACAATATTAAAGGTACTATGGATTACAGGTACTCACAGATATCAAGGACCTTCAGTGGTCTAAACTGGACTGAAAGGAATATGTTTATTCCCCAAGGGCATGAAGAGCCAGTAGAGACTGACAGCTAATGACTGTGGCAACAGAAGGACATTTCATTTTCATGTTACTCTGTATTCTGCCTTTTCAACATATCACCCATTTAAAGCAAAATGGAGAACTATCTGAGAACAGCATTAAGATGGGAAATGGCTATTAAATAGTCTTCTGTCAGTATTTCTTGGGGTGTGTATGTATGTGGATCCTGTCTGTATGGCAGCTGGATCTTTGTCCTGTTTTACCTTTATCAGCGGCAGTCGGTACCACTCTGTCTCTAGTGGTAGGAAGGGCTTGGCAGCTTCCTTCGCAAGAGATGTGTGCCTGATATCAAGATTTATACATTTCTTTTGGGCAGCTGGGTGATGCGACAGCATATACCAGAGAGAACCCGTCCACTTATTATTATTTTTTTAAAGAAAGAGAATAATTTTAAATGATACTGAAAGACTTTTTTTTCTAGCTTCATCCTATCATCTGTCTCTTTGATAGGGCTATCAAGCTTTGTGTTCAGATGCCATTTGGCCAAACCAAATAGCTAAACAAGAGTATAGGTGAGGCTCTTAAGAGGTGCTGTTTAAATGGATCATGACAATTCCTGCCTTAGTTTCTGGAAAACAATCCATAAGAGGCAGAATAGTTTTGCAGATTTCTGTCCCATAGTACTTCAGACTACAGACAGATATATGCATCCCATATATATGATACCTTCCCTATAGTAAACTAACAAGAATTGTTGCTAAGCTGTCTCCTTGGTATGCTGGTTTATTTCCTATGTGGAGATTCAAAAATACAATATTTCTCTGCATTCTGAAGTGGAATGGCCCAGACGTGTGCTGCCTTCCTGCGTTATTTCACCTTAAACCAGATGATCCATGAAGTGTGTGGCTGTGTTGCATACTTCTGTGGGTGACGGGGGAGTGGGGGGGGAGAGTGCCTCAGCACAGGGGGGAGAGGGATGCAAATCTTTCCTGCAAAGAGGAACAAAAGATTTTTAAAATGTTGTCAATAATGAGCAAGAGTTTTTGTGCACTTTTTACATTTTGGGACTTGTTCTGAAAAATTCACAGACATGGATTTAGTCCCAATACAAGGATTTTTGATGCAAAACACAAGGGCTTGGGGATTTTTTTGTGTGTGTGCAAAAGCTGTTTTTGGCACAAAGCTTAGCAACAATCTCCCCCCTTTTTTGGCTACTACACTGCTGATCTAAGAAGGACCAGTCTTTTTAGTTTCATGCCGGAGTGAAAAAATCAGAGTGGTTTACAGTTTCTTAAATGGAGTTGTCTTGATGACTCAATACATGCATTTTCTATTGAGGATGAAAACATGCCTACACAAGGAGTCCTTCCGCTTTGTGCAGTTCTCATCAAACCTGCCCTCCCAGCTGCTATTTACCTTAGAGTAAAATTTTCCATTGGAAGCAATAGTGGCTTTTCTCTCAGGACTAGTAGCAGTGGAGGACCATCAGGACCAAAACAGTAGTAGAGAAGGTTAATACATATCCTGTGTGCTGTGGTTCTGGCTCTAATTGACCCTCCCCTGGCTGCTAGTTGAATGTCGCAAGCTGATACATTAAAAAGGCATTCACACACCTGCCACACAGTCTCTAGACATCTTGCCTTAATCTCAAGGCCAGCTCCTAAAGCCTGTTGTGGGTCCTTTCTGGCACAGACGGCTGTGATGTCTCCTTCATTTCACTAGCAATATATGCTGATTCTTGTCGACAATCATTTCTTCTCAGCAAATGCTCATTTTGCTTTGTGCTAACTCTTGCACTGCCTTCCTTGGATAAGCATGGACATTTGTTGGTGTGGTCAATCCATGGACTATAACGGTTGCATTATTTTTAACAACTAGACTTCGGGACCTAACATTCTCCCTCTCCCACTGTTGTATTTGCTCCTTTTTCTAGAAGTTATCAGTATTTGTTTATATGTTTATATTAAGAGGTAGCAATAAAGGCAGGGAACCTTTCAAAAGAATTTGCTCCTCAAAGGGAACTGTGTCATGGTAGTCAGAAAGAACATTCTGTAAAAATGTGGCCAGTGTTGGGCTTTTCCGTAAGATGCCTTGTTTTTCTTTGTTTTTGAAATTAGCCCTGTGATGTTGGGTGTGTTGCTCTTATGTTGCCAGGGGGAATTACCTCCATGATTTCAGGAAGCAGGCACTGTCATAAGAGAATCTCAGTATCATTGGGCATATAGGGGGTAGGGTGGGAATATAGCCACTTTTGCAATGCTTTATAGTATCCTGCTGTCTACGGCACATTCATAAGTTCCTAAATGTTATAGAAACAGGTTTGGTGCAGGCCACATTTCCACCTGGAGGGTTTCTCTAGTTACGTACTTTGAACTGATATTTCATACTTATCCCAGGGTGATTAAACCATTTTATGCTGATGATCTTAATCTTTAGTTCATAGGTAGAGTACCTGCTCTGCATGCAGGAGGCCTTAGATTTGATTGCCAGCATCTTCACTTAAAAGGATCAGGAGGCAGCAGGTGCCAGAGGAGAGCTCTAGTGAGATCCTGGTGATCTGTGGCCTGTCGTAGTGGTCTCCACTAGGTACGTAGAGCATGCTAGGGACCTCTTCTATAATATGATTTTGGTGTGACCTTCAATACAATTCAGTATTTAAGAGAGCAGGAACCATCTTACAGCTCTGCCTGGGCAGATATGCTCTACTACATCTGAACTTCCTGGACAGGATGAATAACCTGATTTGCCTCCTGCTCCACTGAATGAGAGCCTTTTTTTAGTTTCACATCTTGATGAGACAGTGCCGTTAATACTTGTCCTTTGTGCAAGAGAAACTGAAGTCAGCCAGAGGCAGTGGAGCAGCCTGGTTTTCCTATCTATCTTTGAAGATGTCCATGTGTTTAAAAGTTCAGCTTTCCTGCAGAAGCTCCTTTTGCCCCTCTTTCCTCAAACTCCTCTTCAGTCAAAAGCTGAATTATAAAGAGATTTGTCATCAAGGCAACAGGTAGCAAATCCAACCATTATAGAATATGGCCTACAGACTACTAGGTACTGTTGTTTTTCAAATGCTGACACTCATTCTGACTTCCTAGGCTCCAGCTGCCAGATGACACAGAGTCTAATGAGTTTTAAGCTCATAGAAGTTTCATAGTAATGGAAAAAACTTGAACTTTACAAACTAGATTCCAACATCAGCAAGACTGATGGGGGGGAGAGGAGGAGACAGTTAACAAAATTTGGCCCATAATAATTTTTCTCCAAAATAACAAAAAAATTTTTACATTACTGTCATTTTGGGCTTCCTTGGTTTTATTTTATATGAGTTTTTAAAAAATATATCAGACAGAGGTGAGGTCAAAACCAATTTCAAACATTGTGATTGAAACATGCTAAACTTTGCTCAAATTTATATTTGCAAGTTTGGTTTCACCTCTGAGTTATTCTTTTTTTATATAATATTTTAATCTACAGCTGTTGAAATGGTTTTAGCTCATATGCACCTTCCTCCAGTAAGTCACTTCTGCTACGTAGCTACAATATACCAGAGAAATATTGTTACATTACAGTGTTATGAAATGCTTATGAGATTGATATGTATACAGTTTTTAGTCTTTCTGTTAGTTGTTTTTAGTAAGTGAAGAAAGAATAGTAGTAGAAACATGTATATATATTTTTGTTCCTGTGTAATATAGTGCATTGTAGACTTTATTTGCAGGGAGTGAGTCACTTGTCTGTAGTTCCAGTGGCCATAAGGTCCTTTGTAGATTGAAGGACAGGGAGATAGTAGTTAAACAATATGATGGAAATTTGCCACAAATGACATTTGAAATTCTCTGACCTCAGTGGACATTGTATTACCAGCATTCTGAAATAAACAGGCCATTCAAAAGCCTGGCATTCAAAAATTAGCAAATACCAAAATAATACTAAATTAAGGGAATAAGCATAGATTTGAGGAGCAAGCTTTTCCCCCTCAAATTTGAAAAACATCAAAGGGAAAGGGAGATCCAAAATTTATTATATTTAGACCTAGTTGTGCAGCTGATGCAAATGGTTCTGCTCTAACTAAAAACAGATCCAGGCATTCTTTTTGACTGCTGCTTTTCTTAATTCATAACACATACTCAGCCAATATGTTCAAGATCTGTTTCTTGAGTACAGTGGTGCCTCACTAGACGATGATAATCCATTCCACTAAAATCGCTGTTTAGCGAAATCATTGTCTAGCAAAAAGCATTTCCCCATTGGAATGCATTGAGACCTGTTTAATGCGTTCCAATGGGGAAGAATCGTCGTTATCTAGCGAAGATCAGCCATAGGAAATCCACTTTGCGAACTGCCAATCAGCTGTTTAAATCGCTGTCTTGCAAAGCTTAGGTCCCAAAAACACCTGTTTGCGAGCGCGGAGGGAGCTGTCAAAATCATCGTCTAGTGAAAATTGGTTCCCCCATAGGAATCACTGTTTTGCGAATCGCTATAGCGGTCACAAAAAGCCAATGTCTAGCGAAAAAACTGTCATGTGGGGTAACTGTCTAGTGAGGCACCACTGTAGTTAGCTAACCATGTACATTTGAAGATGAGATAACATTTTACTTGCCATGAGCTTGTTTCTAACAAATGCTAAAGAGATACCTGATTTATAGATCTCTCTCAAGAGCTGGTGTCCCTAAATAAGATATGGTAACTGTTGAATTTCCATTCAGAGAGCAAGATTGTTCATTATGACCTTTGGCAGTGGCTTCCTGTAGATGGCAAAAATCCCCCCCCATCCTTTCCTCCCCCCTTATGCTGGTAATATACCAAGGACATAGCTAGACCAGCGTTCTTTTCTCCCCACAGTATATTACTGATAATTGTTCAAAGCGCTGTTGTTTGCACTTTATTTTACAACTTACCCTGGTAGTTCCTGTTTTGTGTTTTTGCTCCCTGATGGTTGCGTACAAAAACTAAACTAAAAACAAAACAAAACACTAAAGCATTCATCTGAGATTTAACATTAGGATGGATTAGTAGGATACAAAGCCCTCTTTCCAGTTGGTGCCTTGTATTTCCTTTTCTTCTTTTAAGGTAATCTTTGTTTTTTGTAAGTTCCCTTCTCAGAAAGTGCAGGCTTCTTTCTCCTAAGGACCTGTTTATCATACATATTACATATATACTATAACTTTACTATCCCAGTCCGAAA